GTTTTGCACTGCTACTAACAAAAGTAGAACTGTAGTCATAAATAATTGATCAATTAATATAACATCTAGGGTGAATAATTAAGGTCTCAGAATAAAATTCTGTTGACCACTCTATTTAAGTGGAAGAACATCAGACTGAAAACAGGATTTACAACTTGGCTCAATAAAGCCAAACAGGAGCCAAACCAGCGATGGGAAGTGCTGGCAATCCCTAGATAATCTTCCATGAACTCCAGCAGGATGCTGTGACCGACAGTATCAAAAGCTGCACTTAAGTCCAGAAGGAGAAGATTATAAGGCGATTCAGAGTCAGAAGCCATCAGGAAATCATTAATTGTCTTAAGCAGGACTCTCTTAAGTTTTTGCTGTGGTTTTGTTTAGACCCCAATTAGAAAGAGTGAAAGACCTCATTAGCTGCAAGACGAGACTAATTTAACTACCACTGCCCAATCCAGGGTCTTTTTTAAGAGAAGACAAATTGGCAATAGATGGTAGTTATCAAGTATGTGGGAGGTCCAGGTCAGGTTATATTTAACATTGGTGAGAGACCTGCCTACAGGTATATGACCAGACTACAGGGCCTCATTGATGAGATTAGTAATTAGAAGGCAGCTTTGAGTAGAAGCAGAAAATATGGTCTAAAACATCGGTAGTACTATAGATTTCATTTTAGATGCTAGCTTCGTTTGAGTAAGTAAAACCATGACCAGCAATATAATGATTGAAACTTGAATCTGTGAAAGCAGAGGTGGTTGAATCTGTCACGACTAGAAGTGGTGACTGTGATTGGTTATTAATATGTATTTTGTTGAAAAAGAATTGAATGAATGTGTTACATGCTTCAATAGAGAGGGAAAATCATACATTAACTGGTTCAAGCATTTTATTGATGCTGAATAATAGGACAGTAGGGTTAGTGTGACCTCCCTCCTAATAACAAGAAGCCCTTTAAAAATGTCCCATCAACAAGGTTATAGTGGAGTATCCAGTGGATATCCCTTTCGATTAAGGCTTTTCTCCCTGCAATTCAGAGCAATGCATCAATGATGAATTTCATGTACACTATTCCCAAACAGCATCTAATGGTATTCAATAAACAGTGAACAAAGTCATAAATCATGCTGCTAAGGAAAGTCACCTGACTGACACATAGTCCACTCTTTCTCTTCAGAAAGACCCTTCATGGAGGGCAAAGAGCTTAAAAGAAGAAAGAGATAAGATACTAATTTAAAAGCCCGGAGAAACAAAAAGCTGCCACATTATTAAACTTAGCTAGGAGAAAGAAAACCACAAGGTTTCAGACCACAAGTAAGCACTTGGATCCAATATCTCTCAGTATTCTTTCTGCACAGACTACGAATAGCCACAGAGCAATATATCTTCCCAAGAGCTTCCTTAGCTGCAATAACTCAAATACTCCCCACCAACCACCTCCATAAATAACAGGATATCTCTCTCGGAGAAAGAACAATCATTTAGTCGGTCACAAGTGCCTCTTCGACACGACAAGGAAGACACTGAGCAGGGGCTAGTGCTCAGGGATAGAGAAAGGACAACCTGTTCAGGTAGAAAAATATCTATATCTAAGGCAAGAGCTGGGAATCGTACAGCCAGGTTTGTCAATTTTACTCAATTCAAGGGAAAAAGAAAAAAAGACAAATTGTAACTTTTCCTTAGGCTGTAAAGGAAATTGCCTCAAATATTTTTGACTCGGCAGAGGTTGAGAGTCCACACAAATACAATTAAGACAGCAAAAAACAATTTTACATAAAAATTTAAGAAATTAAGGTGTAGAAAATTGGTTTAGATCTTCATCCTGTAACAATCCTGTGAGATTTTCAGTTTGATTTTCACTGTTTTATTTGAGTGCACAACATTAAAATCCAAACAAAAGCCTGATACTATTCCAAAACTAAGAATCAACATGCATCTGCCAATGTTTACAATTACTTTCAAATAATAAGGAGGAAAATGCAAGATATTGCCTTTGTAAGGAAAAAAAAATGAATAAAATTCATTAAATGTAGTCGTGATTTTGTCCTATACATTAGGAAGAGAAGTGGGAAAAAAAAGGGACACCAAAGTCAAAGCCGTGTGCTTTACCAGCTACAGAGTAGGTGTCATAGATGCTTGAAGGTGCCATAAACAACAGAGACCACATGCTGCTGTACAATCTGGCTCACCTCAATGTCCTCCCCTATGGAGGCCAGGAACCTAAAGGACTGCTCAGGTCAAATGTGATTTCAGGGAGGAGTGCTTTCTTATGAAAATCCTTCCTGTCTGTAGCTAAATTCCCCCTGTTCTATATTTCAGGAGATGAAGTATCACAGCTGTTCTACAGAACAAATTTCAAATCCACATTGAGAATAAGTACATTTTCTTTGATATTGTGCTGTGTAAGATTAATGTAGCAACTTGGAATCAAAGCTTTACAGTACAAGTTAAAATTAACAAAGTAAAACAGATGTTTTTGAATAATTTCTTCAAATATATATTTTATTTTTCTAAGAGAGGCTTCGGCTCCCCTGCAATCCTATATTGGGTAATGTGGTAAGAAAATGTATGCACATGGGACAGGGTTTCATTGATTAAGTAATAATACCTAGAATCTGTCTTCAATTAGGGGTCGAGTCAATTTGAATGTAGTGAAACAGCACCAATACACGCCCACACACTTACAGTATGTATAATGTGTATAGCTCTGCTTTCACCAGGCCCAGAGCACACAGCCCCACTCCTTAGAAAATGACAAATGTTCCATCACCAAAACACTCACCATCTGCACCATTTCTGCACCATCTAAGTTTCAGGAAGGTGGCAACACTTGGCAAACATGCGCAGTGTGCTGAGCCCTGTTATACATGTATACATACACTGTAGCAACCATCTTTACTTTCCAGTAATGTGCAACCTTTAATACTTGTAGTAATTTGTTGCATTTATGTAGCATATAGTATTTCATCCCAGAGAGGCTAACATAGGGGAGTGGACACAATACAGCTACCACTGAAGATCAACGAACACCTGAGAGAAGTGTGGCAGCAATTACTATAAGCATTAATTAGTGATAGAATATTAGGTTATGATGAGAATGTTATAATTTCTTTCTCTATATACACAGTACTTGTGTTTAAAACTTCAGTTGTACTGAAATTCCCAAGTGTCAGGTACAACAAAAGGAACAAATAGAACTACAATATGATAACAAAAATGAATAACAAGGATGTTAATATTTCAAATTAATTATTAAAAAATAAGTTCATGTCATTAATCTCAGTTATCTGAAAGTGTAAAATCATGGTCATGACTGACAAAAGATGTACGTTTCAAGCCAAACATGTCTCCTATACAACTTTACGCACTTTGCTCAACTATAATTACTTCACAGTAAAACTGACAATTACATGAGGGAGATCTATAGCCATAGTGTTAAAATACTCAGATATTCTCAGGTAGTACAATCATACAGTATGTAGTGTTATAGTTCTGAAAGCGATTAAATGGTGTTTGAAGCACAGGTCTGCATAATGTACAGCAATTCCTTTTGCAAAACCAAAAGCTCATTATACTAATAAGTTTTAGCCATGAGCTACTCGCCCTCAACATTAAAAAAGATCCACTAATTGATTTAAGATATTTATTTTTCAACACAAATACCCCATCTGTGTGCCTGGAAAGTCAAAGAACAATGTCAATTCCTGCATACTGTATGCTGCCACAAATAACATAACTGCTCAAAAAGGGTTATGGCACACAAAGCTGGGTACAGTGTTTTTTCTGGCAAATTGTCAGTTGATCCGACACCCGTTGTGTCAAGAACAGGGCAGAAATGTCCAGTTGCTGATGAGAGGCTAGTGAGAGTTATTACATCTGACGAAATGCCTACCGCAATACGCCTTTTACATTTGCTTTCACAAACCTCAGATGACACGAGGCTTTTTTCGGTGCAAGATAACCTCTGAAATTACTTCTCCAGCACATCAAACCATAAACGGGAATTTCCTCTGTTGACTGAACAGAGAAGGTTAAGCACAGTGACTGGCCCTGGATTTCATTGATTATAATGTCGCTCCCATAAACATACAGTATCTGCAACAAGAGAAACTACATCTGATCCCACACCAGATTCACCTGTCTCTTCCCCCATCTCCATTTTCACCAAGTTCTAGGAACTACAGCACCAACATACAGTAGCAGTGCACCAGTATCTTGTCAAAAGAGTCAAAAAAGTTGCTAACCAATTAAAGGATTATTTTTATTTCTTTACTTCATCCTTTATTTTTCATCCTTTATATTTGTTCTCAGTCAGGCTACGTTAAAGCAAAGAGATCTCATGTACGCATTCAGCTCCTGCTCTTCCAAGCCACCTGTTCCCTTAATTAAAACATGCATCATTAGGAGAGACAGATCTTTGAGTCTAACTCCCCTAGGGAAATCATCTGAGTGCACAGGGAGTAAGAGACACTGTGAGCCATGGAGCCTGAACCTTTCAGCTCAGCTACAACCTCTCTGGCCACAGTTGTGAAAACCGAAATGTTTCAATGGCAAGTGAGCTAACTGAGATCACAAAATACTGTATTATAAAAACGTTCAGGTTCAACAAGTTCCTTGGTCTTGGAGTCATCCTTATACCTTATTCCGCTCACCAGCTATGACTGTAGTGTTGGGAAAAGCCTCCTCTCATATATTACATAGGCCAGAAAATCGCATTAAGAGCCATTAACATTTCAAACACTCATTCTGATTTCAAAGAAGCATGTTGGGACCAGTTATAAATATGTGAATAGGAAAATGTTTCAGGCTTGCTCTTGCATGCGATTACTTTTTGCATAATTAGGTTATAATTTTTAAAAATGTATTTGTTGATACAGTATGTAAGATGTGTTTGTATGCATTTCTGAGGACTTTCTAACTGTTCAACATGCTGAAATTGCAATACTGAATCACACATATTGGTGGACATTATCTATCAGGCCCATAGAAAAGCCTGAAAATCTTACCTCAGGTTTCCACGGCAGCTTGTTCTGTTTTTGGATGAGAAACTTCCTCAGCTCAGTAAAGTCCCTGTTCATCTCCCCATATGCATTAAGCCTGTCCTCCTGTTAGAGATTAAGGGGAAGACAAAGACAAATAGCAGTTGAATTCAGAGACCTCACACAGTAGCCCAGAAGAACAACTTTAATGTGTTACCACAACAGCAAGCAACGTGTCCAAATTTATAGTTTATTCTCTCCAGCTAAAGACAGACTCATAAAGGGAAATTTGAGAAGCCCTTAAATGGAGGAAGATTTGCACCCTGTGTAATTCTTTATAGGCTCTGAGTTTTATTTGACAATAAGACAATTCAGGTCTGCAATGCAATACTCCAATCAGTAAAGCTAGTGTGTCACCAATCTGTACAAGCCAATGTGAAGCAACCTTAACAATTTTCAACAATATGTTAGCTTTCTTCTTGTAAGCCGAGAAAGTCATGGGCATGTTATTTTCTTGTAGCTTTTAACCCCTTTACTCAAAACATCCATCATCTTTAAAAATATAATTGGGTGGAAAAATAAATAAACAGTAATGCATTTATTTGCAAAGTCATAAGTGGGTCAGTCCTGAAATGAGTATGACTGATTTAATTACCTGGACTCCTGTTATTTGTGAGGGTATCTATACACATTAACTTAAGCTTTTAACAATTGTGACCAATCAAGTACACAATTATTTGCACTACAAAATCCAGAGCCCACGCCTTTCCACAGCTAGATGTGAAATGAATGAGAGGACAGCTTGACGTCCTCAGCCACCTCAGGTGAGGGAGCTGAGGAGCTTGGGGAAACAACAGTGGCTGAGGCACCCACAGCGGGCTAGATCAGAAAGCCAAGTGAGCCACTGCCAGCTGGAAAGGTCAGACTCCTTGCATCCTTCTTCAGAAAGAGACTAACAAATATCTATTTGACAGCCACAATCGATGGCCCAAAAAATCAATTCTGGAAAACAGCCAGCACTCTGTCCCTTATTTTCTTGTATTCTTATATTATTTACTGGCTTTGATGACAGTGTGTCTTTGTTTTCCCTTTCCATCCTCAGCTCAGTGGTTTACCCTTTTGCTTTTAGATGAAAAGCTCCCTGATGGTTAAGACAATTAAAACACAACCACTTGACCTTTTCCTGATTTCAGCAGTAAACCTTTGCTTTCATCTCTTTTCATATTTAATACCCCAATGGCAGATGTGCAACCTGGGTGCACATGACTACACGTGAACAAACTGCAGATCCCTTGACACTAGACTGTGTAACCGACAAACTGTTCCCTGAAAATTATCTGTGACGCCTTTCTTGGTTATCCTTAATAAAAAATAGCTACTTGCCAAAAATATGAATCTCTAAAAATTATCCGGTAGTGTATGTGCATTAAATAGTCTGTTTCAGCAATAACATTTTTGTGGAAGGCCTAAACTTCAATGTGTTTGTTTCTGCTCAAGCTTGGTGAAAAGGTTAACTTTTAAGAAAAATTAGCCTTTGCTCTTGACATTGGAAATCGCCCACTTGTCTAAACTGAACAAGAAAGAACAGGACAATGGAAAGATGAAAGGAAATTGTCTGTAACTATTAAGGAGATTTACTTCATATTCACTTTTAGAATGTCAGCCTCTTAATACTTCTCACACAATCAAATTATGACCTATATTGTTATATATTCCCCCAGAAATAAATATTTTGCTGTCCTTAAGCTCAAGGGTTGCATTTTAAAACCCTGAAGAGGTTAAGCATGCTGGCATGCAATTCAATGGATTGGCATCCCATCCTAGGCAGAGTACCATCTTGCAACCCCCAGCTCTTGCTCAATGTTACTCTAAGCAGTTACTCATCATGGACAGAATGTGACAATTCAATGTGAGGTTGGTGGATGCCAACGTTATTCAATTTCAGCTTCAAATATACTGTATGAACGGCACAATAAATGGAATTGAAGATAGTGTACAAACAACACACAAATTTACAAATATGTGGTCAGTTTACAGTTCAAATGTCTTAGGGACCATATGACCTATTTCAATGATGTAATCAGCTGAGGTGTGTAATATCAGAACCAACTAACATAGTGAATATCAGATAATTCACAAAATATAAATCTTTTCATCACCCAACCCTCCTATACAAAATGCTTTTAATAAAAAGTGCAGGAACATACTTTCTGTCTTACGAAAATACCAGATACTAATATTTTGGTTTTTTACCACAAGGTTTTTTGCCCTTTTAATCCCATTTTGAGCACAATTACATTTCTGAGTTTTCTCATGAGGTTAGGGCTGCAAGCCATATACTGATTTTATTTAAAGAACGAATATGCACTGGGAAATATCTTTTTCTATTTCCCTTGAGAAGCTGTATAGTTTGTTTTTAAAAGAATGCATTCTCTAATTTACAAAAGCTAAATGTCATTAATTTTAGAGGCCATTAAGGATATTAAACATCTGCATCAGTATTTAAAGGGAGCTTTACCGAAAAGCACTTTTATGGACCTCAAGGTGTCATAATGTAGGAATGGAAAAATGGCTGAGAAATGATCGGGACAAAACTAAATAAAATCTCTATAAATCAAAAAATGTTCCATTTTTTATTATTGTCTTAGTCCCTGGGAAGAAAAGAGGAACAGAACCAGCAGTAAGAAGAAAATGTTGCAACAAAAAACATATCAGTCATTCAGAAATGAAAGCAACAGACTCCTCTATGACACCTCCTGTACTGTACATTCACACAGAACATTTGAATTAAAATCATATTACAGGCAAATGTCTGGGTTATTAACCCTTTTGGAGGAATATTATTCACTGGCCAACTCTCTTAGCCTACAAGCATTTCTTGGTTGAGATGACATTTTAAGGCTGAATGTGTTGTGTACAATTCTTTTTCTCAAACAATTAACAATTACATCATGGAATATTGATCCAAAGAAAAAGGCTTTAGTCTTTGATTGTTCCATGGAAACAGCTGATTTGTTCATCAATGTAACTTAGAATTTACAACTGAGAAGAAGATACAATTCTTACAAGAAGAGCTGCAGGAGTTCAGAACAAGGGACTCGGCTTTATTTCATTAATTAAAGCCTGAAAAGTGAATGACCATTGGTAAAACTGAATCAGAATTTATCTCAAAATCTGAAGGCTGGATGAAAAATGAACAACTTCAAACAAAAGTAACCAGGACTGCATTAAAAAGCATAATAAAGCAATTAAATAAACTAAAAGGACAATCAAAGCTTTTGGTTTCAATACGATGCGTTTTTGAGACCCATAATGACTGAATCAGGGGTGTTTGAACAATTCAAGTATATGTAGTAATAATTAATTACAGTAATCCATTAACAGGTTACAGCATATGAATGAATGAATATGGCATATTGTTTCTGAAGAATAGTTTGCATTTCTACTTTTATAACAAATTATGAAGTCAAATTTAGAGCAAATTAAAAATCGGTTGTAATATCCACTAGACTGGTCATATCTAAGAAGTGGCAATCAGACAGTTGTTTCAGCATTTTACACTGCCCAAAAAAAGATTTATGTACTTAACAAATTCTGGGTTTGTTACTCTATGAAAGTGAGACATGAGAGACAAAAATAACACCAACAAACATCTGACTCTTATAATTTGACAATGGTTTTAACAAGTGTTTATAATTTATTCTGCTACTGTATGTCATATTTTAGAGGCAAAAGTTTTCATGAATTGAATTTTGTAGATGGGACTTTTGTTTTCTTGGTTTCAGCAAGAATATGGCTGGTCTTGCTGAGTGAAGCATATGAGGAAATCTTTCAACTATCTGTGCTATAAATGTCAGGTTACCTCAAATTTACAGATTCATGGTTTAAAAAACCTCATTTGGTATTCTTCTATATCACCTCAGGTATATTTTCAGGCTATTCCTTTTGTCTGTTAATTAGATTTAGTATTAAAATGTCCAGGGGTGGCAAATTCATTAGACATTGGATATAAGTACAGATTTTTCTTAAAGATGGATAGTGAGATTAATGGATAGACCATTTTAGACCAAGGTTTCTGATCAATTTTTTTTGGACAATAAAGAAAGCAGATATCATGAAGAACTCAATCAACAGTGGTTCAATTATAAATAAAAATCCAATGTTTTAATTAAGAGGATTGAAGATAATGCTTTTCTTACGGCAGCATGATCTCAACTCTAAAGCATCTGATTATGAACTGTGTTAATTAAACAATTACCATCATTCAAAGTTTACACTTGTTGTTCTTGTTGCTGTTTCAAAAAAGAAAGCAGCATAATGAAGGTATAAAGTGTTTTGAAGTATATAAAAAGATGATAATTTAGAGGTTCCAATAAGCAAATTTAAACATTTCCAGATTTAAGTAAAACTGTGAGAACATTGTGAAACTTTTTTTAAAGACAAGGAAAAGGAATACTGTACATCATTACTAGTCTTCAACACCTACTGTAGTCAGCAGTGATGTTAAAAACTTTCAGTGCTGAAATACATATGCAGTATGGACTCTTCTAAATATGCAGTATGGACAAATTAGAGAATATTTTCACACAACATGAAATATCATAGTCAAATCAATACTATTAGAAGGACCTATGCTAACCATTTCAAAACAGAGATTTTACACAAGCCTATTTTCTTTTCATTCCTTCACCAGATGAACTATATAATATTTCTGCACAATATCTTGGTAGGGTGGTTTTCTACAAATAGACTTTTATCAAAATATCTGCAGGGTTTGGCAGTGTAACATACTGTATATAGAGATAAGGGAGGACATGTTTATCTTAATGAGAATCACTAAAGCTGTTCAAAATAATAGACAGGCATAGAAATAAACCCAGACCACCATATCACAATCACCTGTACTCAACCTCGCCCTCCAGCAATCCACAAATGAAGATCTTAAATTCTTTTATACACCAGGAAGCTTAAGCATTAAAAAGCAATGGGTATGATAATGCCCCCATTTACTCCTCTAAAATATTCCTACTACTTTGAGAGAGCTTGTGCCATCTCTAGCAGTATTTCTCATTAACTTCATACAAGGGGAGACATCAGCTATGCACACATCGTTCTTAACACTTGCA